TAATAAACAAAATAATAATGTTCTTTATATTTTTGATTCATATTTTCTTTTAACTAAAAGTTATTATCATTTTATAAATCAAAGTTACATAATAATGAAAAGAATGACAACCTATCTTCTTGCATTATAATTAAGAAAAAGAAAAACGCASAAAAAGAATATTGTTCCAATGTTTCTTTATTTGTTTTGAACTTATTGGAGTTTCACATTGTTCGTCCGCCTCGCTGAGAACTTTATTCCAAAATTCCAGATGTGTTCCTGTGTTCAGTGCAAACCTACTCCATTAAGAAACCGTTTTGACACAAATCTCCCCTTTTCTCTTGAGAAACTCGTCTGCAGATGTTCCTGCTTGACAGCTCGTTGTCACATTTCTACCTCCTCACACTCTGAGTGACTCAGACGTGATGCACAGATTGGCACTAATAGCTGGCCTCACCGTCCCCACGCTTACAAACACACTCGCACGAAATATGGACCCTATTGTCAGAAATAATTGGCTATTCTATTTTTTTAAACYCAGCTTAAATGCATTTTGATTTTTATTTTGAGACCGTGTAGATCTTAATGTATATATCAGTTGACACTTGTTGCTTTAATTGATGTCATTCTTTTTTTTTTCTTGTATGCATTTAACTCACAAAGCTATAAAAATATAGATCATTTTTTTCTGACTTGTTTTACTGTATTGGTGCACAAACAGCAGGACAATGCTAAAAACGATCTAATTTTCCTCCTTACAACTTATTGCTGCTATATAAAGATAACATTCGCTCTTGTTTTTTGTCTTGCTTGTAGATGGGCTTAGAACATGAAGAGGAGAAACTGGAAATTAAGAGACAGGTGTCCGAGTTGACCCTGTCTCTCCAAGAGCGCGAGTCCCAGATCAGCAGCCTGCAGGCAGCACGGCTCGCTTTGGAGAGTCAGCTGCAGCAAGCTAAGACCGAGCTGGAGGAGACCACRGCTGAGGCCGAGGAGGAGATCACCGCGCTGAGGGTAGGAGGGGGGGTTTCACAAGCAACTGCAGTATAATTAGCATTTATTACTGATACGGTAGATGTGATCAAAGCAGATGGAGGCCAGCGTACCTGTAGTGGTGTTYCCCATCATTTTCCACCCTGTTCTTTATTGGATTTTGTTTTTTAATACGTACAAGGTTGTGGGCATGATGAGGAGGAAGAATTAAGTCAGCAATCAAAACTATGCTTCATTTTATAATTTTACCCATGCTTATATTTAAGAGGTGTAGAAAATCGTCATCCCTGATTATATTAGGTAATCATATTATATGTGGTAATTTGGTTGTACTTGTGTCATTTATTTGCTTTTTCTCTTGTTTTTACAGAACCACAGAGATGAGATTCAGCGCAAATTTGATGCCTTAAGAGACAGTTGCTCAGTAAGTGCTCCACTGCCTTTTTTCTGCTTTAACAAGGAAAAAAACTGTCGTAAGATTTATGATTATTCATTATGTAAATTGAATTGTAAAAGTTGTCATCTACTTAAAATGTCATTGTTAAGCACAAGAATCATTATAACGCTGACTTAATTTTTTATCGCAGCGAATCACTTTTTTTTGTGAGCTTGGACAGTTTTCCAGAGCCGACACGTCTTCCTGTTTGTTTTGCCCCAGGTGATCACTGACCTGGAGGAACAGCTTACTCAGCTGAGCCAGGAGAACGCCGAGCTGAACCGCCAGAACTTCTACCTGTCAAAACAGCTCGACGAAGCATCAGACGAGCGGGAGGACAAGCTGCAGCTCAGCCAGGAGGTGGACCGCCTCAGGAGGGAGGTGGCTGACCGCGAGATGCACCTCAACAACCAGAAACAGGTAAAAACACCTTACCTTTAGGAGCTTGGATGGAAAGATACTTTTAGAGACGCAGTAAAAAAAGATGAGCAGCAATGGTTTAATGTTGACAAACACATTCAGAGCCACAGAAATCCTTTYGTAGCAATCGCCTCGTGACACCTAAAACCATGCTGCAGTCGGCGACAACTTCAGACACAGTCGCCACACGGCGTTGCCAAAAGCTGCGAAAGATGTTCCTTTCAGTCTGTTGTGTCACGTCTGCCCCCAGAACATTGAGACACTGAAGACAACATGCAGCATGTTGGAGGAGCAGGTGGTGGAGCTGGAGTCTCTAAACGACGAGTTGCTGGAGAAGGAGAGGCAGTGGGAGGCGTGGAGGGGCGCGCTGGAGGATGAAAAAAACCAAGCGGAGCGACGCACCAGAGACATGCAGAGACTTCTGGATAATGAAAAACAGAACAGGTATCATTTAYGTTTTTATTTTGCACAAACACTTACAACCAAAACATGATTTTAAACCCAGACGTTAAAACTTGTTTTACTGCTGTTCATAGGCTGCGTGCAGAGCAGCGCAGCACGGAGTCTCGTCAGGCCGTGGAGCTGGCGGTTAAAGAACATAAGGCTGAGATAATGGCCTTACAGCAGGCCTTAAAGGAGCAACGGCTGAAGGCTGAAAGTCTGTCTGATACAGTGAGTCTGTCACATACCTTTTAACCCTGTAGATACAGATTTGTTTTAAACTCGGCAACTTCGAAAAGTACCCACATTAAACAACAAAAAGAATAAAAGCCTGTTCAGTTTGATGGCTTTTGTGCAGCAAAAACACAACAAACATGTCATGAATTCTGTGTAAATCTTCTCCATCACGCTTTGTGTCCATAAAACATCTGTTTTAGCCTTTGCTGCTTGTTTCTAAAAGAATTCATYCGCCAAATATTTGAAATAATGTTGTGACAACCAGCAGGGAAGTCTTTATCGGACAGGATGTATTTTCACAAACATTGTCATATCAGTTGGACATTTCCTAATTAGCTTTAATTTTAGCTTTACCAGTGTACACTTAGGTTGCAGTGAGTTTATCTGTCTCAGAGATGAATCCTATTAGTGTTTGAGGCTGGCTTGTGTTACAGTTTGACATGCACTCACGTCTTCCCTCAGCTCAATGATCTGGAGAAGAAACACGCCATGCTGGAGATGAACGCCCGCAGCTTACAACAGAAACTGGAGACGGAGAGAGAACTCAAACAGAGGCTGATGGAAGAGGTACAAATGGACCYAGCGCATAGTGGACTACTGTAAACRGGATTGCAGCTTTAATTGTTCTGTGGTTTTTTCCCCACAGCAAGGGAAGCTGCAGCAGCAAATGGACCTCCAAAAAAGCCACATTTTCCGTTTGACTCAAGGCCTTCAAGATGCCCTGGACCAAACGGACATGCTCAAAACTGAAAGGACAGATCTGGAGTACCAGCTGGAAAATATACAGGTGCTCAGTTCTGTAGCTTTTATATAAAGATCATCTGCATCAATAAAAMAAGCTCCTAGTTAGATAATAAAACTGTGCAACTGATGTTGACAGGTAAAAAGATACGAGCACYATTCATGTTTTCCCAAAGGGACTTATTTATAAAGTTAACTTTAGAAGTGTTTCCATCTCTGAGCTTCTGATTTCCGTGCTGCTGCAGGCTGTTTACTCCCACGAGAAAGTGAAGATGGAAGGGACCATCTCCCAGCAGACCAAACTCATCGACTTCCTGCAGGCCAAAATGGACCAGCCCACCAAAAAAAAGAAGGTCTGGGAAAATATTAAACCATCAGTGTGTTTTTTTTATGTATTAGATTAACCATCAGCTTCAAGGTAATTTATTATTTTTAAATCCTCACTGTGTTTTTATTCTGCTCAGGGTATATTTGGGCGGCGGCGGGAGGATGTAGGCACCACCACCAATGGGGCGCTAGCTCAGCAGGCCCAGCCGGCTGTTCCCATGCAGTACGGTGACATGAAAGTAGCTCTGGACAAGGAGCGCTCACGGTGTGCAGAGCTAGAAGACGCCTTACACAAGATGAGGATAGAGTTACGATCCCTTAGAGAAGAAGGTAGGAGGAGTCTTTAAACGTGGCGCTCATTAACGCATGAGGAGACAGTAACTTGATTATTGATGCTGGAGCTTTGTAAGTCTAGTTAAGTTTAARAAGACACTATTGTTAAAACTGTAGGTCAGTTTTTGTATCGTGCCTGCAACTAYCCAGTCAAAAGTTACACCAGCCCTAAATCATGCATTGATTTTAGTGTTGCTATTAATTACCRGGTGATTGACCAGAAATTTGTTTAAAAGTTTTCCCCCAAAACTGTTGTTCCTTGTTATCCAATGATTTGTGTTTTAATGGCATTTGGAGCATTCAAAAAACCAAACTTTTGACTACTGTCCAAACATGTCCTTTAAATTTTTGGGAAATGTTTGTTGTTAAAACTTTAAAAAAATTGACCAAAACTTGAATTAAAAACAAAATRGGAAAATTTGAGATGGGAAACATTTGGGCTCTTTAAAAATAAATGTACTCTGTACTCTTACAAATATTTCATTTTCTTACAATTAGATTTTATTGTGAAAACATTTACCAACATGCTGAGTTTTGAAASATCCTCTGTAGGAGCCAGCCTTTAACTCTAATTATTAAAAAAAAAAAGAAGAAAAAAAATCAATTATACTTAAAACAGGGTTTCCACAGGTTCTTGAACTCAATGAAAGTTTGTGAATTTGAAAAAATATATATATGTTCAAGACTCTGGAAAGTTTTTGACACCAGCCGTAAAAGACACCCCTCCTTTAAAGTCTTTGAATGTTTTGGGGGGTTTTAAATTTCCCATAGATGACAGCCGCTGTCAACATGTCAGTATTTCTCATTGTTCGTCACCGCGTTCTTGTGTTTGCTGGATGTAGTCTACGTAGCAGCATGTGAAATCCTTTTGTGGGTGATGTGCCAGTCACGCAGTTTTTCTCAGAGTTTTATCGAGTTGGGTTTCTTTATCTCTTGTTTGTTAAACTGGATATAATACGTTCCAGATTTAGCTTTTATAACCGCTTGTTTTGTTTGTATTTTTTTACTCGGTGACCCAGCGGCTCATTTCAAAGCACAGGAGCACGTGGCTCCCTCCACYCCGGCCCAGGCCCGACATCAGATCCTCATGTCCGCCATCGTCAAATCACCGGAGCATCAACCCAACCCCAGCAGCCTGCTCAACCCCTCCACTCGCTGCAAGGAGACATCTACACCTGAAGGTTCGTCACAGTCATGAGATTCACACAGGAAAAACAAAATGTCTCTCAGTAATCAGCCTGACGGTGAAGTCTAGATTTCTGGTCTTAAAGTTGAGGTTTTGTTTCCCACAGGAACATTTAGCCTGATGCTTGGACTCCTTACTCACCTGTTTTGTTGATGTCAAGTGTTATTGTTTGTGTTTTCTCAAATGCCAGTTTCACAAAGCAGGATTACTTACTGAAATAAATAATGTATTACAATAATATTTTCACACCTGACATAAAATACAGCTTCTTTAGTTGTTTCTGAATATAAAACAGTGATTTGAACTTAGACTTTAATTTAGGCCCTCCTTTATCAAAAAGCTAAAACACATTAATGACCTTTGCAGCTCAGACCTGTGTAAGTCGTTCAGTGGATCCCATCAAAAAGCAGAAACAAGCCAACAGTCGTGTAACTGGCTCTGTTGGAAAAAAGACGTCGAGTTAATCTGAACAAATTCCACTTTTTGTGGAAGTGCAAAGCTCCGCAGAGAGAGCCAATCAGCAGAGAGCTTGAAGAAATCATTTCTCCTGAAGGTGAACCTGCTTTGTGATGCAGGCTCGTGTTGTCCGTGTGATTTTTGCTCGCACCTAGCTCTTGTTAGACTGCTGTCTCCTTTCTGTCTCTTTCCTCTTGCTCCTCACAGAAAAGAGGAGGGTCACGTTTGAAAGTAAGTTAGCAGTCGTCAGTTTCCAGTCACCTGAGCTCCTCACCTGTACACGCATGTTGTGCTGTGATGACTCATGCCCATCGTCATACCTGTTCTGCTGCTTGTTATTGGCTTGACTTCAACTTAACCAAAGACTTTTTTCCCCCCTTAGTGCTCAGATTTTGATGTGACGCTGTTGCCTCTTTTCTGTCATTTCTAGATAGCGTATTGTAGGATAGTTTCACTCAAAAGCATTTTAATACATTTCATGCTTATTGGCATGTGCAATCAGATTTTAATTTGGCTGTTTTAAAGTTCTGGGGCACTCTCTTTATATCTGCAATTCAAATAACCAATTCATTAATCAAATTCAGTCATATTGCTTGGGAAAAAAATGCATCTAATATGAATCTTTGCTGACCGCTGCAGTTATTAACCCCCTTTCAGAATATCAGGGTGTTTCATTTCCCTCCTTCCAGTAACAGCCTCTTCTTTTACCCTCTTGTGCATCGCAGAGTTCGGTCGTCGCGTCAAAGAGAGAATGCATCACAACATCCCCCATCGCTTCACCGTGGGCCTGAACATGAGGGCTGCCAAATGTGCCGTCTGCCTGGACACTGTTCATTTTGGACGACAGGCTGCCACTTGCTTAGGTCTGTATCGTGCTGCCGAAGTGTTTCTAGGGAATATTATTGGCCAGGCAAATGAGGAGTTGTTCCCTGTAACACAACCTTTTAAATTAATGAATCAGCTTTGTCTGTGGATTTTATTTTGGCAGTTATGAGTCTTAAAACAAAGATAAAAAGACTGTGTGCCAGTTTATTTAATTCCCAAAGCAACAAAGCGGAGTTGATATGAATGTCTATATGTGATTWTTGATCTCTCAAGCCTGAATCTCTGACATCACCGTGAGTTGAGTAGATATTTTTTTCTTTTCTCTGTTCTGTTAGAGTGCCACACCTTGTGTCACCCTAAATGCTCACCATGTCTGCCAGCCACCTGCGGTCTGCCGGCTGAGTATGCCACTCACTTCTCAGAGGCTTTGTGCCGAGAAAAGGCAAACTCTCCTGCACTACAAGTCAAAGAAGCGACGGGACACGTTCGTTTGGAGGGATGGATGAAGCAGCCAAGGTAAGTTTTTTTTTTTTTTTTTAGTACAGTCATAATCAAATGTAAACAACATTAAATTCATACATCTGTGTTTTTGTGCAGAAATGCAAAGCGTGGCCAACAAGGGTGGGAGAGGAAGTATGTGGTTCTTGATGGAACCAAATTGTCAATCTATGACAATGAGCCCAGGGAAGGTCAGTATGACGAATGTTTGTTTTTTATTTTCAAACATTACACATTTAGTGAAGCAGGTTTAGTTATAATTTAAGATTACATTTTTCTGTAAAGATCATAATAAACAAGTTGTTTTTTATTCTCCTCCTCTAGACTGTGTAAAGGCTGAGGAGGAGTTTGAGCTCTGTTTACCCGATGGAGACGTGACCGTTCATGGAGCTGTCGGCACGTCTGAGCTCATCAACACCGCCAAGTCAGGTACAGAACCAGAACCAGCTACAGCTAATCCTGCTACTCATCATACTGTACATACATACATTAAATGGGATATTTCATGCAAAATACACTTTTTTTTAGCCACTAAATGCATTTTGTTGTGTTCTTGTAGTCTCTCTAGGAGTGTAAAAAAATTGAATTTAGCCAACTATAATTTTATCATCCTCAATCTCCTCTGGCTCTGGGTCAGACTCTGGCTCCAACGTGTAAGTCTGGATYGACAAGTCTTCCCTAACCCTAACCTGTAAAGTGCCTTGTTTGGATCTTAAGAGACAGCCCCAAAACGAGTTGATCTGAGTGACACCTCAGAAAAGAGGTGAACGAGGGGCTTGTGGAGTTACAATAAGGAGGAATTCAGAAAAAAGCATTGCAGTCCCACTTTATATAGACCCCAACCAAATGATTTCAATGTGTAAAAATTATATGTCTCCTTTAAATTTATCATCTGCTGAATTCATTAAACTCCTCTGTGAAATGAAATGTAGTTGCCAGCAGAGTAAACGTCTGAAACGTGTTTTCGTTCCCGTCCACAGATATCCCATATGTTTTGAAGCTCGAGTCCCATCCCCACACCACCTGCTGGCCAGGACAGTCCCTCTACTTCATGGCTCCCAGCTTCCCTGACAAGCAGCGCTGGGTGGCCGTGCTGGAGTCGGTTGTGGCTGGAAGTCGTGGATCTAAAGACAAAGCAGAAGCTGACGCTGTAAGTGTCTAATATACATRTAACATAAATTACTTCTTGTTCTAGAAGTAATTTGTGGAGCTCAAAGTTAAAGAAAATTTGTATATAAGAGGTGTAAACAAAGCTTTCTTAATTCAAGCCTAGGTACTTGTTAAGTAAAAGTTGAAGTTAAGTGCATAAAAAATAGATGTTTTGACTGCTTTCATTCAACACCCGGCTTCACTTCTTTTTTCATCACTTCTTTTTCCCTCCTCCTCTTCTGTCTCTCGCTCTCTCTCTCTCTCTGTCTCTGTCTCTCTGCATGTTTTCAATATCCACATCCTGTATTTATTTGTTGTCTTTATGTGATTAAACCGTGTGTGTGAATTGTGCGTGCACATGTTTGTTTCTCCATTCACCTCGGTTATGTGGATCATATATAGGCAGGTGGTTCTAAAAGACAGAAGAACCTGTCCCCTCTGGTTCAGGTACAGTAAGTAGCTGCATGGATGCTTGGGCTTCAGTCGCCCGACCGACTGAGCATGATCTAACTGTACACGAGTACGCATACGACACTGGTGCCCTTTTACTGCAGCTTCACAGGTTTCAGGCTCAGGCACAGAATATGGTCAAAGAATTAGTTTCCCTTAAAAGAACATTTTGGGAATTCACAGAAAAGCAATATTTCAGATCTTTTGGAATATATGGATGTCCTGATGCCCCTTTAAGAGCGGWCTACAACAGATAATAGTCCACAGAACCCCACATTAAAAGGTCTGAACTATTGTTTTAATGCATGGGAGTGAATGAGCTGCTGCACACGTTGTGTCCTATGCTGCCTTGCATGCTTCTGCAAAAGCTGTGCTTAAGCCCCKCTCAGTGAAACATGACACAACATCAGTGAGCATCAGCTGTTGGTGCTTATGTGTTGTTTTCTTTCAGCTTTGGAAAGAAATGTTTTCCTCTCAACTTTCTGTTTAAACAAAAATGCCCCCCACCCCTCCTCCCCCACCTCTGCCTACCAAGAAATGCTTTTAAATGTTTAATAATTACATTTTTACCTGAAATTTGGCTCTCTGTGTAACATTACAACTACGGTATGTTGTGTAATTTTTCATAACTTTGTAAGTGTTTTTATATGACTGATGTAAAACATTATGGTTCTTTCATCCATAGAGTTCCTTTCTGAGATATTTTTCCGTTCTGCTGCATCACTCCCCCAACACTCATCCCTCCTGCTGCACTTGYGTCAAAATGACCTGCGAGGTCTTAATTTTAAAACTGAGTGCTAATTTAGTCTTTTTCAGTCCAGATTCACTCAGGAAGTGGTACATGCAAACATTTTGTGTCTAAGGCTGTTTAACAGAACAACATGGCAAATTAAGACTCTGGTGCGGTCTAAAACAGTGGTTCCCAAACTTTTTATCTTCTGACCCACAAAATATGCATTGCAAAAACTTGTGACCCCAAATATTACTGGTCTGAGTACARGAACTTCGTTAATAACCCTAAAAACACAGGCTTTTTGACAATCTAAACAGTTTGTACACAAATATAAATACTTATTTATACTTATTTTGTGTTTTTGTAATAATTATAGGGAAAATATTACATCAGCAATTATTTTATTACCCTTTAAATTGATTTCTGGAGATTATCCAAGGTGCTTCATGACCCATAATTGGGTCCCAAGCCCAACTTTGGGAACCAAAGTGCACTGGTTCCAAAACTTTTCAGCTTTTGACCCACAAAATAACAGTAGCAGAGACCTGTGGCCACAACTATTTCTGGATGATAAACATTTGTATCAGGTCAACTAAACATGGGCGGCTGTGGCGGAGTGGTTAGGGGAGTCGTCCTGGAACCAGAAGGTCACTGGTTCGATCCCCCGTCCAGCCGTCTCAGTCGTTGTGTCCTTGGGCAAGACACTTCACCCACCTTGCCTACTGATGGTGGTCAGAGGGTCCGGTGGCGCCGATGCAAGGCAGCCCCACCTCTGTCAGTGTGCCCCAGGGCAGCTGTGGCTACAGTGTAGTTTGCCATCATCAGTGTGTGAATGTGAGTGTGAATGGGTGAATGTCTGTTAGTGTAAAGCGCTTTGGGGGTCCGGAGGGACTTGAAAAGCGCTCTATAAGTTCAGTACCATTTACCATTTACCATAGTAACATTATTTTTATACTACATTTATCCATTTTAAATAGACTAACCTCACTCCTTTGTAACAATTACGGCAAAAATGTAATTAATTCAGAAAATCTTGTCAGGACCCCACCTTGATGTTTCAGGACCCCACTTTGGGTCCCGACCCCAACTTTGGGAAACACTGGTCTAAAAGATGTAAAAAGAAAATTACATATTTTAACCAAATTGTATAAACACCATTCTTTGCTTAACCTAAAACTAGATTTTACTGTTTACTTAAAGGACATATAATATATCAGTTGTGTGGTTCAGACACCCGCTTCTTATTTAGAAGCATAGCCTTATAATTTTGAAGCTTTATRAGTTTAGTGTTTGTAAAGTCTCTGGCTGCCTCCATGCTTGATTACTTGCTCTCGTTTAACTAATTTTCAGGATACTTTCTCCAACCAGTCTCAATGTCGTCTGCTTCTCTTTATTTCTTGTCTCGATAGAAACTTCTGGGCAATTCTCTGCTGAAACTGGAGGGTGATGATCGCTTGGACATCAACTGCACCCTGCCTCTCACCGACCAGGTACATGGTTAGACGGTGTCAACTGACCACTAATTGTTTAACATGCTAAGCTTATATGTTCCTTTTTTTTTTTTATTAATGCAGATTGTCTTGGTTGGCTCTGAGGAAGGGTTGTATGCCCTCAACGTCATTAAAAACTCTTTGACCCACATCCCTGGCCTGACCTCAGTTTTCCAGATCCAGATCTTAAAGGAGCTTGATAAGCTGCTGATGATCACAGGTCAATAAAATCCCAGTAAACTGAAGCCATCATCTTAAATAGTCAAAGTAGCTGCTGTTTCTTTTTCTAAATCAGATATTGCTGTTTATAAGATGTATTGAACCTGCATGAGAGCTTGGACCTAATTGCGTTTTAAAGAKGTAAAATAAACAGCACAATATATATCTCATTATGATGACATGGTTCATGTTTCTCTCAGGGGAGGAGAGAGCTTTGTGTCTGGTGGAAATCAAGAAGGTGAAGCAGTCTTTGTCCCAGTCTCATCTCCCAGCTCAGCCTGACCTCCATCCCTTCATCTTTGAGACGGTGAAGGGATGCCACCTCTTCTCCTCCGGCAAGGCGAGTCAGGCTGTTAACGGAGCAGAKAAATCCCTCCAGACTGTCATTCATTCGCAGTTAATTAGCTGAACTTCACAGTAACAACCCAGTGCCYCGTTGTTTCATTGCAGATACTTTACTGCCAGCCTGACTGCGGTTGTTTTTGTCTTTACAGATTGATAATGGGCTCTGTATCTGCGCCGCTATGCCTAACAAGATTACAATTCTGCGATATAATGAAAGCCTCAACAAGTTCTGCATCAGAAAGGTAAATAAGCATCGGGGTGGTCGACAGCTAACAGACGGCGTGGCGGAGCGTTTTGGAGGCAGCGTAGACGCTTCAGAGAGTCATGGGTTTTACGAGGTGGCTCAGTTCACCTTTGTTTCTATTTGCAGGAGATTGAGACATCAGAGCCGTGCAGCTGCATTCACTTCACCGGCTACAGCATCATTATTGGCACCAACAAGTTCTATGAGATAGAGATGAAGCAGTATGTGCTGGAAGGTATGTTATTAACATTTGAACTGTTATTTCTTTATGACCAYATGCTTGTCCAATGACGTTTACAGCAGTGTGATTCAGTTATTTCAGGCTTTTCTAAATTACACCTACCTGCCTCCACCCTCCCACCCACCTCACTGTCTGACTGTTTTTATGGTATCAGGTGCYGTTTCACCAGCAACTTCCTCAAATTAAACAGTAGCAAAACAGACATTCTTCTTGTTTGCACTAAATCTACCCTTGTTAAAAACAGCTTTTCTCACTGAGAGGACTTCAGGTTAAGAGTCTGGAGAAAGACAGCTCTCCTGGACATTAAAACTCTCCCATCATCTCCATTTTTTAATCATGAATTAAAAGTTTTTTTAAACAGGCGTATTCTGTTTAAAGTGCCTATGATATCAACTTTTATAATAAATATGAATGTATTTTTGGAAAGATAACATTGATAATATATTGTAAAAATGATTTCACGCCGCTGAGATGAACAGTTGTTGAGGTATTCACCTGTGAAGAAACAGGAAGTGATGTCAAAGGAGAATGTCTGAATGTAAACAGCGTTGCTAAAATGGCTAATATCACAGATTGTAGAGAAGAATATACTGTTTCAGTTAACAAAAACAAGGGAGATTTCTTTCTCAATGAGTTCCCCTTTGATGTCATTTCCTGTTTCACTTCAGATGAGCAAATTCAAAAGAAAATATGCCAATTCTGTGATATAACAGGTCAAATCATGTTTCTTATGCCAGGTTTCTTCAATGTAAAAACATTTTCTTAGACTTTTTGTATTTCATGGCTARGCATGTCAAAGGCACTTTCACCTTCATCTCCTCACCTCTATTTATGTTTTTGTTTTATTCTTTTTTTTTACTGTATTTTATATTGTATTTTATTTTACAGTGTCCTTGAGTGCTATGAAAGGCATGTGTTATTCTTATTAACAAGCTGAGTAACACCGGTGATTTGTCTCTGCAGAGTTCTTGGATAAAAACGACGTTACGCTAGCTTCAGCTGTCTTTGCTGCATCCTCCCACAGCTTCCCAATCTCCATCATCCAAGTCACCACAGCCCCACAGAAGGATGAATACCTGCTCTGTTTTCATGGTTAGACCCTTATCTGTCACATATACCTGAGCAAAATATTTATTATTTACAGGGTTCCCACGGGTCCTTGAAATCCTTTAGTTAGTGAATTTGAAAAAATGATTTCAAGGCCCTGGAAAGTTTGTGAAAACAGACAAAAATTACACTTGTCCTTGAAAATCCTTGAATTTGATGTTGACCAGGGTGTGGGAACCCTGTATTTATGTCAGAATCTCTGCTGGGGAAAAGGAGGCTTTTCCTGACATGTAGCCTTTGTGTTCAGTTGCTTGTTGTTCATTTTGAGCATTAACTGGAATTCTGTCGCGCAGAGTTCGGTGTGTTTGTGGATACATACGGCCGCAGGAGTAGAACCGACGATATCAAATGGAGCCGTCTGCCCCTCTCATTTGGTCAGTGTAAATCAGCTTGCAGTGTAACCTTCYGTTAGTTAACAAAGACAAACACATAAATAACACTGAGTGGTGTGTTGGTGTTTCAGCCTACAGAGAGCCCTACCTGTTTGTGACGTACTTCAACTCTCTGGATGTAATAGAGATCCAGGGACACTCTGCTCTCGGGTGAGACAGTTCTCTGGTTTTATCTAAAACTGCCCCAACACTATGAACACTGTAATTTAATCTGTATTAACGACTGTGTTGTGGTTTTGAATCCCACTTTGTTTCACTTGAATCATCTAAAAGCTTCCTGCCTCTTTCTAGGCCACACTCTTACGCACACTTGGACATCCCAAACCCACGCTACCTGGGCCCGGCCATCTCCTCCGGAGCCATCTACTTGGCCTCTTCCTACCAGAACAAGCTGCGGGTGATTTGCTGCAAAGGCAATTTGGTGCAGAGTCAGGAAGGTGGAGGAGATCTGCAGCGCAACGGCTCCGGGCGCAGGTGAGAGCACAAAACGACAGCTCGCAGTTGTGCTTGTTTGTTTTATCCGCAAGGCACCTTCTGAGCTCTTTATTTTCATTTATTTTTTTCTCTTATAAATTATTATTTTTTGCCTTGATTTAAAACATGTCAAAAATGTAGAGCATCACTGAGTAAAAGTGTAGTGGCATCTCTATTCCAGCCATATTTGTACTGCTGCCTACCTGTTGTTTTGACTCCCTGACTCAAATCCCATTGTGCATTTTTATCAGTTTTATTTTTCTGTAGGCATGCAAATGAAGAAATTTGATTCCTTCTTTCATTTTTCTTTCCTGTAGAAGAAAATAGATTAGAAGAGCAGCTGGAGGAAAGAGTGAAAATTTAATTTGTTGTACTGAAGTAATTCTGCGAGAGGAAAACACATCTCAATAAAGTAAAACAAAAAGAAAATAAATTATACATATAGTTTTTTCTTATTTGTTGGATTATTTGAACAGTTTAGTCATTTATTAAATGAGTTTTAGATGAACCTTGTCACTTTAGTGCACAGACTCTACAGTGCAAAGTGTTAATTTTTTTCCCTTTTATTTGTATTTGTATAATTTTTGCACACTGGTGTTGATGGGTCTTGGCTTAGCTGGCACTGAGGGGCACAGGTTGGTGATGGATCAATGTAGTGTTTAAACTTGTTAATGAATGGTGAAGTAACACAGTCAATTTGTTTTTTGCAGGAGGATTGGTTCATTTTTTATCTGTGGAAAATCTTAACCTTTGTCTGGACTCCTTTTTCTTACTGTTTTTGATCCTGAGGCTGCGGGTTTAAACCCAGTTTGCTTCAGGAAGGGCGTCTGGTGTAAAACAATTGTGAAATCTGTGGCGACCCCTGCAGAAGCAAACAAAAAATTAACTTTTACTACCTTTTTTTAATCCTGTGAATTGTAGAAAGGAAAACCAATGAATAAAGGCATTATTTTATGAGCTGAGACTGGTCTCAATTTTAAAAAAACGCATTATATTTGTTCTTTAGTTACTGTTGTCATCACTGACTCCAACCTCATTTAGCAAACTAGAGTTAATGGATTTGGTCACTTTTAATCTCAGACAACAATACACTTGTTATCTAATTAATTTAGCCTGATTGTGAGTCAGTCCCCATCTCCACACCCTCCTATTGACCTGATTTCCACAGTGCCCAGCAAAGCCCTCGACCTGAGACACAAACTCCTCTTAACCAGTGCATGCATGTCTTTACACCTGGGTTCCTCCCCTACAGTCCTAACAAGCGCGGGCCCCCCTCCTACAATGAGCACATCTCGAAACGACTCGCCTCCAACCCTCTGGTCCATGGCGACCCCGGCACACCTCACCGCTACAGAGAGGCTCGCACAGAGTTTCGGCGGGACAAGTCCCCCAGCCGTCCACTGGAGAGAGAGAAGTCTCCTGGCAGAATGCTGGAGAGCCGGATCGCGGGTTCTCCCGGCAGGGCCATGGCTGACCCCCGGTTAGAGAGGTCCCCGGGTCGAGCCATGGCAGACCCTCGCATGGACCGCTCCCCCGGCCGGATGATGGATGTTCGAAGGGAGAGATCTCCTGGACGATTCGAAGAGCGACAGAGGCTTCACACTGGCTCTGGACGCACACCTATAAACCCTGTTAACAAGGTTTGACACTCATTTCTGCCTTCKTTACATCATTATAATAACAAAATACTAACTGTACAATAGGGCTGCCACAAACTATTATTTTTATAGTCGACTAATCACCGATTATTTTTTTCGATTAGTCGACGAATCGGATCATACGTTAATTGAATATAAAACATAGAGCTACATAGCTATATGCTAACCAAAAATAATTGCTGTGGAAAGTAGGTTCTGCTCTGCAGATATTGCACAGGTTTCTCTTTCATTTTCTTAAAATGATCTCACTTTTGAGCTCTGTTGCCGGGTAGCCATGATACCAGAGCCTGTCTGTATAATGTCTTGTGATGTCCACGGCCTACCCCAGTTACCACTACTGTGCATGTGTGTCAAGGACAGAAAGGCAGATGTGGCAGTGGAAGGTGTCAAAGCAGTTTGGAGAGAAAAACAAAGTAAAGAACAAAAAAATGACTAAATTAGTCGTTGACTATTTTAATAGTCGATATAATGGTGACTAGTCAACTAATCATGGCAGCCCTACTGTACAGTGAACTGTATTACACCTACCTAGTACACATAGTTCAATTCTATACCACAATCAAGTGRCTATGGTAAATGGACTGTACTTATAAAGCGCCTTTCAAAGCACTCCACACTACAATCTGTGCCCTCATTCGCACAGCACTCTCTTGTGTCTCTACAAAGCTAACATGTACTAACATGTACAATCATCTYTGGAGACTAATCAGTGCCAATCACATTCATACACTGATGGGACACGCATCACAGGCATTAGGGGTGAAGTGTCTTGCTCAAGAACACAACAACTGAGAACCTCCTACCATTTCTGACACTCCCATTTCAGCACGTCTTCGTAACAATGCTTCAGGGAAGGGGTACGCTGTGATTTGAGAGCTCGGCTGCAGAATGAGCTCAAGGGCGGAGCTATGTACAAACAGGCGGTGCTTTGTACCAGCAGTTGTTTAGACAGCTCCACATGGCCTCAGGAGATTCAAAGATTTCACAAACATGCATGAATGAGTGAAAGCAACACTCTGGGTATATTTTGATGAAAGAAAGACAGCTTGATATGAAGCTCAAAAAAGTTAATTTTGCATACTACTCCCCTTTAAGCTATTTCTATTATCCCTGATTGAGCAAGAAGGACCAAGGTTTTAAAGGGACTGTAGCTGAATGTATTTGATCTTTTTCTCTCTAATGCCTTGATTTATCCTGGATATCTTTAGGCTGACCAAGTCAAATGTTTTAGCAGCTGATATTAAGGAAAGCTCTATAAATTTTAGAGCATTTTTCAGTTTGTCCAGTGCTTTGGCTTTGTAATAATTAAATTGCAGAACTATAATTTGTCAGTCCAGAAGTGAACTCCACCTTTAGTTATAACGATAGCRGATCTGAATGTGTCACTGACTTTATCTTGCAGGTGTGGGACCAATCATCTGTTTAAGAGGGCCGCMGAGCTACACGTCCATTCGTCACGAACGGAGAAACTCTGCTTTGCAAAGCTGACGAGCAGAGAATCTGCGAGAATGTTACCAACTCATCGAGAAACACTGCCACGTCTGTTCTAAAATTAAAAGACCCTCGCAAGAAAACAACTGTAGCTTTCAGAAATTCAAGCGAAGTCATTCAGATTAGGGTATTTTTTTTCAATAAAGATCAATAAAAGGCCATACTGAACACCTGAGCAGGGATTCTGTGATGATTTTTCGCAGATAGTCTGCTCCAGATGTGGATTAACAATTAGACCTGAGAAGAGTTCAGCTGACTTCAAAACAGTGGAGACTAAGAAATAAGCACAGTCATAGAAACTTTATTTTTCAGTCATGTCTAAATAGTTACACACTGAAAAGGGCGAGGCTGATCAAAAATAGCATTAATAAATGTGTTSCGCAAAAATACCCATCTGTCCACAGTAGCTACAGACCAGGACAGGCGTGTAGCAGGTCGCCTCTTCGACCACTCACAGCTCACAATCAGTCGACTAATTACAATCATTTCAGCTCAGTCGTCTGTCAGCTGCTGACAGGACTTAGCYGGAGAACAAAATCCACCGAGCCGCTCCGTAGAACCACACTCGAGATCATCGTCTGCCCTTTAGAGCTTGACGCTGACCGTGCACTACCCACGACCCCCAGCAGCGACGGAGCAGCAACTTTCTAAARCCTTCAGATCACAATCTGACGTGTAAATAGACGAGACATAATTTTATACATATATACTGAGAGGGAATTTCAAGGCTGGAAAAAGCCGTGTCTATTTTTGTTAAAGAACAAAGTGATAAAGTGTCCTCTTGAATGTCCAATGAGTATTCTTTTAACATGTCCTAGCGTCTTTATCAAGTGAGTGATTGTATCTGGATCAAACTTGTGTACGCACACCCGTTTGTCAAAAGGCAAAACCTCAGTGCTGAACTATATGAAGGAATGTGGTGGGGGGAGGGGAGGGGGGTCATGTTTGGAGCTTTCATTGTATTTGATCTTTTTTTTTGTACAGTGTCCCTTACTGTCGTGTATCTAACCTAAACAGGTTAAAGGTGAAGATTACTATTTTGTTTTTCTTTTCCCCTCCTGATTTGTAAATGGCATGGATATGTATATCTGAAATGAAACCAAGTGCTGTCTTCTGCTTCTGCCTCATTGGGTTTCTATTTTAACTGCAGTGGAACAACACAAACACATGAYTGATCACCTCGTTCTTTTCACCTTTTTTTCCTGTTATTTAAGGCAACAATAACTAAATTTTCCCCTCTTTTTCTTGACACTAAGTTAGTTAGTCTAATCTGAAAATTTGCCAAATTCCCTGCATTTATTTGCTTAATTTAACCAAGACAGTTTTATTTCTGAAAATCTCCATTTGATTTATATTTTAATTTAATCATGTTTTTTTAATGAAAGATGATGATATACCTCACTTGAACTTGCCCCATGTGTCTATCAACATTTTTGTGCTCGGTAGGATTTTTTTTCCTACAGCTGTGATTTTAATTTTGAATTTTGTTTTTATTAACTTCCTGAATGTAAAGTAAAGCAGATGGAAACTGATTTACTGGTTTTTTAAAGCATCAAAAAGGAAATGCAACAAATTGCACACATGTTCAGTTGGTTCTTATAGGACTCTGTACAAAAGGGTTTCTCCGTCYTTTTATTTGGCTTTATTTTTATATTTTTACGTTTCTTTATGCTTTTCATCATCCTGATTATAATGCTCTTWTGCTGGATATGATCTTGATGTCTGCTAACAAATGTTTAATTAGCGTTCCCTGTAGAGATTTTGTCACAGAATATTAAATATTGTAATCATTGTCTTTCACTTCTAATTTGTGCCTTTGTGTTTTGCTTGAGTTATTATAAACTTTACACAAAGAACMTAATACTTGTTGCTTATTTTCTCTCCGTAAGGTCACATTAACCTCTTGAGCCCAATGCCCCCGGGGGGCAATYCAGCTTTTTCTGTTTTCGATTTCTTTTCACTTCTTTTAACTTGATATCTGTCAGTTAAACCTGGACATGTTTGGTATCAAAAGAAACCTAAGAATCATGGCTAAAGCTTTTGGAAACTATTTTTACGTTCACCAAACACAGTTCAAATGTCACACAGTTGAATCAGAAAGTAAACAAACTGTACAAAATGGCATCATTGCAAATCTGTAACTACATTAAAACAAATCTGTAAAGGAAAATATTTTGCCATTATTTTTTAAAGCAAGTCAAAGTAGATACCTAAATATGTTGTAAAGTTGTGTTGGAAGGTTTTTTTTTTTTTTTTTT